CTGTCCACTGTCCAGGTGTGCAGCGCCTAAGGGCATGTCCACTGTGTAGTGTGGCGCCTTTCTGGATAGCCATGGCAGTAGTGCAGCGCCTAAGGATAGGGCGCTGCACTGTACAGTGCAGCGCCTAACTGTTGGGCGCCACACAGTACAGTGCAGCGCCTAAATGTTGGGCGCTGTAGTGTTGCTATAAGCAAAACTGCAGAAACAGATGCCATTTTGGGTGGGGTGCAGCAGCACTCAAATAACTAAAACATCAATAAAAGTACTATAAACTGGACATGCTAAGCAAAGAGAACTAATAACTTGAACATCACATCATTTAAGACAATTCAAGTTTGCTTCAAGTTTGCAAACACAAATACCATAACATAACCTCACAAGTTAATCAACCTCACAAGTTCACAAGTTCATCATATAACATAACCTCACAAGTTCATCAACCTAACACAAAGCACTAATGCCTTCCACGCGTGTTCCTGGTGCCACGCCTGCAGGTAATCTTCTTCTTTTTAGGAGCACGAGGCTCCTCTTCGTGCACTTCCTCCTCCGCCTGCGGCTCCGCCTCCGCCTCCTCCTCCGCCTCATCATCCAATCTAGCCATCCGCGAGGTCCCTACGACCACCTTTGGGTTGCCTCTGTTGTCATAGTCGTTGGGCGTGTACCGGCGTCTGGGCTGCCTAGGCTTGAACACATATGCGGACCGAGCTTGAGCGTCCGCCAAAGTCATGTCATCATCAAGCTCATCGCCCTATCACACAACGAAACAATATGGTGAAGGCCGATGTCGTAATCAAGTGAGAATCACATCTAAATGATTAGTCATACCTCTTGGGTGATCCCACCCTCATCATCCACATAAGCATATGAGGAACTCACATCGTCCCCCTCATGGTGAGGTGCGGGGTCTGATGGTGTACCAGACCTAGAGGCAGATGGTTCATCATATTCAGGATCACGACAACCGAGAAGGTTCGATAACCGCCTTAACTTCTTGGCCTGACGCTGTAACATGAACAAGTGTGTAAGATATCAAACTTCGCAACATAAACTGGCTCTCATAGTGAATGCGATATGTACCTTGAGGAATGCTCGTAGTGAACCATCATCATTGCCAGTTCCAACCGGTGTCTTCTCCAGAATAGACTGGCTCTCATCAGCTGCTTTCTTGATCTCGGTGCGCTGCGGATGAGAAAAAATGAATGCGTTAGCCATTCAAACATGTGTAATACGGTCAACAGGAAAGTAAAGAGGGGAACACTTTACCACATAGTTAATCACCGGAACAGCAGGCACTCCTTGCCCTAGCCTGACATCTCTGTTGTACTTCCCCTTTGCTAGATCCTCAAAGTTTACAGGTTCTTCAAGAATATCCTCATTATATGCCGGCGGGCATATCTCAACTCGAGTAGTTCCAATAAACCATCATACGTAGTTATCAAAAGCAAGTGAGTTGTGCTCACGAAGCGGGGCGCGTGCAGTGCTACGAGCTTGCTCCACACAAAGCTGGAAGCGGGTAACATACGCAGAATGATGCTTGGCCCAGTCCTTTATCTTCCGTTGCCTTCTCCTGTCCAACCTGCGTGGTATAAAACCAAACATTAGCACAATCAAAAGGAGTCCCGATGATTAGACAATACGCACACATGCTCTCTTACCTATGAAGTGCTTTATCCGTGTCCACCCAATCCGGCGGGTGAGGCTGGAAAAGACCAAACTGACGATACACGCGATGCGGCAAATGAAACTCAACCGCCCAGTTGCATATCAATGGGCACCGCATAAGCCAGAGATCCTTATCCCGCAAGCACATCGGGTTGAGGCGGAAGTCCGCGGTGTACCCCAAGCTCTCACCCGCGCCATATGGCTGCCATTCCACCTATGAAACAGGGCAATAATGCAAATTTGATAACTATTTTTCAAGCAAGCATGAGAAAGGACTAAAGTAATGACCTCCTTACCTGCTCAGGCGTAATCGTGTCCAACTCGGCAATGTACTTTTGGTACATGAGATTGACATCGTTCGTCATCTCGGAAACGATATCCCACTTGTAAGGTCACGTGGGGCGCCGTAATTCGTCATGTTCATCTGCATACCAAGGATCAAACCTGACGCTCTTCGGGCGTCCAACAGGCAGACGCTCCCAGCTCCATACAGAAAGTAGAAGCAGATTACCACCAATGCCTGCACTAGGTGTGATCCTGCAACACGCATCATCCAGCTACATATGAAAGAAAAACAATGTTAACTTGACAGCAAGCTTGCATTGCTAATGAATAAATGAGTTGATCACAAAACAGACCAACTACCTGTCGGTACAAGTAGGCAAGAGTCGCTGAACCCCAGCTCCATTTGCTATCGAAGACGGTCAACGCCTTCAGCCACATCCATGGAGCGTTCTTGCCAGTGGAGTCAGGAAACAAAGTCCTCGACACAATGTACCACATATACACACGAGCATGTGTCTGGATCACATCATCAGTTGCATCCGGAGGGCACGTCGCAAAGTTATTTTGAATCCACGTGAAAGCAGCTCCAGCTGCCTTCCTTTCCCTCTTCTTCTTCTCTTCTCCCTCCTCTACATCATCCTCAGCCTCGGTAGGAGCCATACCGATAAGAGCAATCATCTGCTCGCGCCACCCATCAGAATCGGTGCTCATACATAGAGGCCTCCCGTCGATAGCAAGACCGGTGATCAACGAGACATCCTCGAGCGTCACGGTCATCTCCCCGGTCCGAAGATGGAAACTGTGGGTCTCTGGCCTCCATCGATCAACAAGAGCGGACACCAGTGGAGCGTTCAGATTCGGCGTGGACCGGCTGACCAACAGAATCCACGGGAGTAGTCCTGCCTGCTTGATGTACGGTGTGTACCGCTCATCGTAAGGCATGGCAGGACCAGAGACCCCGTGATACCGAATCTTCAGAGGTTCAAGCTTCTGCAAAAAACAAGTAATGACAAATCTTAGGGCATGTAAATTTCAACTAAAGGCAAATTTGCAAAAGATTTAGAGTACTCATTATTACCTTATCCTTCTCGCGCATCATGTAGGACCGGTGTTGCACGTCGTAGACATCGTCCAGAAGCCAAACCATCCTTACAATTTCAAACAATAAACATACATGAGTTCATCTCAAATATCGGAAAACACTCAACATCTAATATATATCTAAAAAAACTCAACATCTCACATATAGCTACAAAACTCAACATCTCATAATTATCTACAAAACTAGGCATCTCATATATATCTAAAAAAATAAACAATCTAGGTTTAACTAACAAGAATCATATACTACCGGATATGACTACACATCCTCCATCACAACACCGAAAGAGTTTCCACCTAACGAATGAACACCGGATATGAACACCGGATATGACTACACATCCTCCATCACAACAAGAATCATATACTACCGGATATGACTACCAATTCTTTTGGTTGCAATGAATGTGTGCTCATTCTGAAACACCGAAAGCCTGCCTTGACCACATTTGAACAATAGCATTGCTGCCTTGTCGGCCCTCTCTGCATACTTGTAAAACTAAATAAAATTTTGATAGTTGTTTTCAAAGTACTTGCCATTGATGAGAAAAGGATTCCACATTTGAAGGTCAGACCAGGAAATGGCTCCTGAGATGGATGACTTATCATCTCCAATTGCAATATTACATCAAAAAACTTAATCTGGAACACCGAATGATTTTACGGAGGAAAAGAAAGGGAACGGAGGAGTTTACGTACTAGGAAGGATTGGAGATCGAATCCAGGCCTCAAAACTTCAAATCTGAGAGGGGGTGTGGGGGGATCTGAAGGGGCCGCCGCCGCCGCCGCTCTCTGTGACAACAGAGCAACTGGAAGAACTGCCTGGGAGGGTCTGGCCCGATGCGGGCTAAGTCAACGTGCAACGCCTAAGACACGGGCGCTACAATATACACAGTGCGGCGCCTAAGTCTTAGGCGCTGCAGTGCTGTCTGTGGGGCCGCAACTGGACCAGGGCTGCCACGCTGGCAGGATGTGCAACGCCTAAGTGATGGGCGCTGCACAGTAGGGTGCGGCGCCCAGCTGTCGGGCGCCACACGAAAGGGTCAGCAGAGTGAAATTTTTTTGAAAGCAGGTCAGTTTGTGAATTGATTTAGGCCTCAGGTCAAATATGTGAAATTTCCCAAATGAGACGGGAATCGATGCCGCGGATTTTTTGGCAAATAATAAAATGCACTTCGGGTTCGAGAGGGGCGCCTGTATGTGTGGCCCGTGATGCTGTTGCGTGGCCGTACGACATGGAGGAGGGAGGGTAGGGTAGGGTACGGGGCAGGGCCGGGCAGGAAGAGGCCGGACCGAGTGAAGGGCCCGGATAAGAAAACAGCTCGGACGATTGGGTGTATTGGTGGGGCTGGGTCCCATCTGTCCGCGACCCTTTGCCAGAACATTTTGAATGGTTTTCGATGCGTCGCCGAGTGTAGCCAAAAGCTGACAGATGAGATATTCGTTGGGGATAGATTTTCTTTACAAGGGGATTCGTCGAGACATATGGGTCCGTACCAGTGGTGAAGGAGGCAGCCTGGCGTTGTCGGCCAGTCAATTCCTTATTTGACTAGGCCCTTCAAGTGTCCTGGGGCTTTTTGGCGAAAAATACTTTCCAGGTATGGTTTCTGTCTCCAACCCCACTCTCCAGGCACTCTTGAAATGCAACCCTCGACAACAAACGATTCATCATGGCAGACGCAGCACAAACATAAAAACAGACACGATTCGAAAAGAGCGTCCGTATATGTACAAGGCCCAGATGGCCAAACAACCATACTCTACTACTCCCTCCCGTCCATACTAAATTGTCGCTGATTTAGTACATGTATCTACAACTACTTCTAGCTTTGACGAGTTTGCTCAAAAATATTTAGCGAGTTTCAGCTGGCTAATACAGTGTAATAAGCCACATACAACAACAGATATGCTGCAAGGGAAGAAATAAAGAACGACAGGTATGCATGGCTGCCCTAAGATCTGCAGGTGCGGTATACCTCACCGCGCATCACATCAACTGGCCCATGATCATGTGCATAGCGATCCGGGCCAAGATACGCGCCAGTCTTCTCCAGGAGGGCCAAGGCCTCCTCCCTGCCGTGCTTTGAGGAGTAAAGGTTCAAGTATTCAATGTCCTACGTTACAAAATCATCAAGAAACAAGTGTTAGCTGCTGTAAGTTTCAGACAGCTCATAGTTATCTACTCGAAATCGGTGAAAGGCTGGAAGAATTCATTTGGTTATGTAACCAATCTAGCCAAAAGTTGTGCCCTTGAAAAACAAAAGGCAAGGTGAACTGGTGAAATAGGACAAAAATGAACTACTCCCTCCGTTCCAAATATAAGATGTTTTGGATATTTCAATATGGACTACCTACCGACTGAAACGAGTGAACAAACACACTAAAATGCGTCTATATACATCCGAATCAGAAAAAAGTTAAAAAAATCTTATAATAGTGAATGGCGGGAGTAGCATTTTCAAAAAACAAAAACAGAAAGTATCACCTGCATGCCACTGAGAATGCGTTCAATCCTGAGGGACGCAACTGGTTCCTTTGACGAAGAAAACACCTCGCCAGGGTAAAACAGAACCCCATCGCCTGGAGGAAGGCCGCGTCGGAAACAGATCTGCAGCCACACATGACACAAGTTTGAGAATAAGATTAAACATAATATACCAAGTAAACAAAAACAGTCTACATTTGAAATGCAAAATAAACATTGAAGTCGGAATAACGATGCCAGATACCTGAATTAACAGGAAATGGTATATTTAAAGCACTAAATCATGTAACAATACAGATGCTGAAAGTTCAGCTTAAGATTAAATGAAGGGAGTATAACATAAGACAATCTCAAACCAAGAATATCATCCACAGATACACTAAAATAAGAGTTACTAGATACATCTCTATTAGACTTCTAGTCTTAATTTAGTAAGAAAACTATCTTATCACTTTCTTACACATTTATACTCCCTCCGTAAAGAAATATAAGAGTGTTTAGATTACTACTTTAATGATCTAAACACTCTTATATTTCATTACAGAGGGAGTACTTGTTACTCAATAGCAAACATGCTGTATGCATATAAGTTCAACATTCAAACCCATGTACAGGTAATATTTCTTGAAAATACCGTAAAATTTTAAAATACGAGCACCAAATACAATAAATTTTAATTATTCCGAATGAAGTTCATAGATGGGAACATAAAATGGGACAGTGCTGAAGATATATGCAACTAATCACAATCATATTTCATGCAAGTCAACTACCTCCATGTCTACCAACAAAAAATGAATGTGAACTTGAAACTTCCATGAGCAAACAAGCATCCTAAATCATGTTTTCTTGCTTACAATGCAACACAAACATTTTTTTTAACCTATAACATGCCAGGCATATCTCCTTTTCATTTCTCCCAACACAAAATGAATCTAATGGAACTTTTGAAGAGATATTTGATGGGTTAGGAACAACCTCCAAAAAGTACTTGGAATTTTTGTCAATTGGTGCTTGAACAAGGGTTTGGTACTTGAACCAGGGGATTTTTCAAACTTACACCCCACATGTCACCGCGAACAAAACTAGCAGGCAAAAAATGATCACACCCTTCATAGGTTAATGTCACCTCACTGTATCAAGAGGTTTTCCAATGTATAGCATACCTCGGCACTTGGAATCATAGCCTTCTCGTAGCAGTTGGTACCCCAGTAAAGAAATCCTGTGCCACCCTCCTTCCATGCTCTCCACATCACTGCCCGATGCTGAGTTCCGCGCATCCCAAGGTGCCAATTTGGTTGAGGATCAGAAGGCCCCATACAAACATATGTCCACCACTCCTAGATACGATTAAGATGGTTTCATCAAGATAAAGGTCACGAACTTAAAAACCAGAGAGATTCATATACTTGCATATCTGAGAGAAAAAATCATAAATAATAAAACCACTCTATAAGTCTATATGAGAGAGCCATAGAAAATGCCATTGACCAAGAAAGGTACTCCCTCCGTCCGGAAATACTTGTCTTAGAAATGGTTGTATCTAGACTTATTTTACTTATAGATACATCCATTTTCAACCATTTCTAAGACAAGTATTTCCGGACGGAGGGAGTAGTTGACTATGAAACTTGAGGTGGTTCGTAATTAAAACAGTAGGCTTCATGCCGATTGGTGATCAAACAGCCTAAAATACAGATGCCAATAGTACTCAACCATATCATTAAACTTGTATAGAAAGGTCTGAACCTCTGACTGCACTGGAAACACACAAGAAATTCTTCACTGCATCATTGAGAAGAGAGGGATTTGACAAAAGAACCCAACATTAGTTGAGCTATTTCAATTTTTGGCCTCAGAGCACCACCAGTGCTGCCACTTGTGAGGATGGTGCGGCCCCACCGAAGCGTCCCGAAATTGAGATTTTGGCAGTGCTACTGAAAATCCTCCATCATCTGATTTTGTCGTGTGTGCGACGGTGGGCTAGTGTTGCTGCTGTTGGGATCGAGGCAAGTGGAGGAGACAACATATGATGACTTTGACATGGTGGTGCTTCTCGGGCAGCCGGTCTCGAGCTCCGGGGTGAAAACCTTAGGTCTGACCCTACTTGGTTATACCTGGCAATGGCAGTGTTTTTACGCCGTTACCATGTTGATGGAATTGCTTGGAGTTTGCTCGGACGTGAACTTCAGGGTGAAAACCCATGATTTGGCTTCGAGGGTTGGATCCGGCGATGGCGGCACTTGTGCGTCGTTCCCTTCTTGAAGGCATCACTTTTGAAGAACCTTTCTCATTGTCCTTGTGTTGTCAAGAGATAGTCAGTGTCAATGGTCTTGTTGTAAATAGTCAAATCGCTGTTTGATCGTTTTTTCTTTTCTTTTTCTTCCTCCGCCAAGGCAGAGCTTCAGTCATGTAGGACTTTGCTTTCTGCCGGCGTGAGTTTTTTTTTGTGTGTGTTGGTGGTGGTTGTGTGCATCCTAGCTATGCAGAGGCCGGGTATTGCTCATTGTGTTTGTATCCGCTTGATGCTTCATTATGAGTCAATAAAACACCCTTTATCGAAAAAAATACATTGAGTCTATAGCATCAGACAAATTAATGAACGAGAACTAAGAATAGCAGAAGGATGGTACACAGGAATGTATGCAAATGCAGTTACTGGGCTCACATTGTCCATAGAAACACTACTCGTAAAAGAAAATGTTAAGGAATGTACACGCCATATTTTCGTAAAGTTTATATGACTCATAAACATTTTTTTATACTTTATGAAAATATGGCATAAACCCACGCAAGCTGACATACTGTCACCCAACAACTTTAATTATACTTCTGATGAAATATACCAATAGATCAGAACAATGTTGTCAGAAGACAATGCTGTAACTTCATGAGACCCTTAAGCATGGAACACGCTTCCTAGAATTTGAAGTAGAATATCAAAGCATTAAAAATAATGTCTTTTTAAGATAACGTAAGGATCATCCTCCTGGCTGTAAACTTGTAAAGAAACTGTAAAAGGAAAATGGCACAAATGAAACGAAATAGAAACACAGAAACTGTAATTACTTCACCAAGGTCAGGTCGTAGTTCAGCAATAATATCCTTCACTAAGTCCTCTCTTGTGCCAAGAACCCATTCGCTGTATAAGAAAAAAAATAAGTGATGGAAATGGTTCTTCAGTCCTGTAGGTATGCATTTTGTTAGCAAGTCCAAAATTGAACAATGCATGACACTTCCGTTAGTTCGCACCAAGCCACCAATACTTATACTGGAGTAACTATCACATATCTCACACATCCTCAACATGTACAAGCGCTCTCAGTTTCATCAAATTGTTAATCCCATGTCAGTACAAAATTTATCTCAAGCAGGGCATTGATAACTTCATATTGTTTGGTCCACTTTTGTTAACATAACTACCGCTAACTTTCTAAACCCTGTGCACTCCACAAATAGCATAGGCTCGGGATTGGTATGAAAAGACAATTCAAGATATAGATAACCAAATAACACTTTAATGTTCTGAACCTTACACATTTTGTGTTTAACCAAACATCGTGAATCGATTATTGTCAAATATTGTCATATATATAGCTGGAAAAGCAAGTCCATGTCATGCCAAACCAGTATGACATCAGATGCTCCAGTTTTTGCAGACTAGCAATCCAGAATGAACACACAAGTGCCCAACAATGCATACCTAGTGCAAAAGATTTGTGTATGCGGACGTAGAACATTTGGAACTTTCGCAAAAGCCTCAAACGTAGAAGGAGCCAGTTCAGAACCACTTGGACCTACATTAGCCATTCAAATTGTAAGAAGAAATGACGTAGAGTATATGCTAAAGAAACTTAAGGCTTCCCAAGTACCAACTTCCATATAGTCATTATCTACCGGGGTTTTATCATTTATGACACTGGTTGTGTTTCACTACTCAGTTTTGCCACCAGAAATTTCAACTGCTCAAAAATGCCATCGCGTCATTAGGCGCATGCTCAAAAATGCCACTTGACACCATGATTGTCAGCTCAAATCTCGTTTGCCATGTCATAATGACCAAAATACCTATAGACCAACATGTCAGCTCTCCCTCTATCTCACTACAATAAAGTGTGGGTCCCACTTGATCCCAACAGCATTCTTATTTTCTCTAAAATTATTCGCTTGCTTACTCCTAACAAGTGGGGTCCACACTTATCATTGTGAGATAGAGCTGACATGTGGTTATAGGGGTATTTTTGTAATATAACATGGTCAACGAGTTTGACCTGAGAATAACGATGTCTAATGGCATTTCTGAGCAAACATCTAATGAAACGATGGCATTTTTGAGAAAACATCTCATGGAATGATGACATTTTTGAGCAGTTGAAATTTCTAATGGCAAAACTGAGTAGTGAAAAACAACCAGTGGCATAAATGATAAAACCTAATACCAGGCTGGGTAACAGAAATATTTTACCTCATGAGTCGCAAGCAAGTAATCAGATGTTCATTTAAGAAAACATATACAAAGCAAGCACAGTAGCTTAGCAATAAACAAAATAAATAAATAATTCTATGGTACATCAAATCTCAACAGTGATTAAACTAGTTTGAACTTGGAACATCTCAAAGTTCAAGATGGCACCCAAGAGAATTGTAATTATTCAACCCCATGTTTGATTCATTTTGCCACAAACTTCCAGTTTCACCTCCCTTCTTTGCTTCAGTTTGTTTCTCTACATTCCCCCATCATATTGAACACTAAACAATATACAGCAGTACTTTATTACCGAATTGTTTTCTAGCATGTTTGCTAAGCTGATTAAGTAACTTAGACTATATATCTACCTCAGTACAATGATCTCTTAATAGTATCAACACAAATACATACATATTCATTTCGGATCCAAATTAGTAGTGTTTTTTAAACAAGTGTACATCACAAGAAGAGCTTTACGTTTTGTCGTATATGAGTCCAAGTATGGAAGTATACTGACCAGCATAATAAGTTGTTAAAATACGCACATCGGGTGTGTATGTCCTTAACTCGTTAGAGATGTTGCGAATCACTTCGTACTGCTCCATATTCAATGGCTGAAAAAAACAAGAACAAATTGTAAGATGATGATATGTATCTCTTTTCGATGAAAAGAACAGGTGGGCCATATACATGAGTTGATGTGGTTTGACGCATCAGCATAGAGTTCAACTGGTTTGGCACTTAAGCACTTAAGCACATGCATAGCACCTGAGTGTATAGGTGCAATAGTGCAAACCATTTTAGTTTCAGCACCAGATTAAAATGGACCCACAAGAACGAGATGCTTCATGAATTATTGCATGACCCTTCACAATTTTAATGTTAAACTCAAGCGAGTTAGAGGAAATAAATGTAGAAGTTTGCTAGAAATAAACATTTGTCTTGTTCTTTCTACTTTATTTCAACTCCTAGATTGTCAGGGATTGCAGTTTTTCATGCAAAAAGAATGAACGCAATGAATGAAGCTATGCTAAGTTGGAATCTACCTTCAAAACTTTATTTCCTGATTCTGTTTTTATGTTGATTTGGTGCTCAAACCAAAAAGGTTTGAGTAGCGTAGCTGTATGTATTGCCTCATGGTTTGCACCAGAATATTGCCAAGGTGCAAGATGCTGAGGTGCAACCATCAGCTGCTAGCACATAGAAGGTCGAAGCTACACTCACAACTCACATAGAACAAACTGCCAATATACAGTTTTCTCAAGAATCAGGATATCCTAGGAGCATAGAAGCGACTTAGTTGGCTAAATGAAGTTGGGATCTACCCTTCGAACCAATTAAGGAAGGGTTAGCTCAACAGTCAGCGGCAGGTCCTAGTCAGCAATTACATGTAGACATATAGCAGTGTGTACTGAGCACTAGTGTTCTTTGACATGTTGCATTGGCATCATCATTATATAACAAAAGCAGTTGCAGTCATCCAAATTAAACAAAAATGCTTAGGTAGCATTGACTATTAACTACCCTGTGTTTCACAATACTGACAACTAATGCAAACGATGGGGACGAAAATACCCTCGGTAACATCTCAAGCATGTTAACATGGGTAACAAATACAAGGAATTCACAGGTTTGATAGGGCAATTTGGGAAGTTCGCCTAGGGATTCATGAGTTGCATCTTTCTATTTACAACGCTTAAGCCTGGCGTGGTTCATTAATTGCTGTTAGTCATAACTCATAACTATATTATCGTCCCAACTGCATAGAACTAGGCAGGACCTAATGGCATTTGAAAACTATGTGACATCACACTACGCAATATAAGCATAGCAACGCTTGAACTTTGTGTTGTAGAACCATGTCACCCGATATAGCAACAACAACAACAACAACAAAGCCTTCAGTCCCAAACAAGTTGGGGTAGGCTAGACGTGAAACCCATAAGATTTCGCGACCAACTCATGGTTCTGGCACATGGATAGCAAGCTTCCACGCACCCCTGTCCATGGCTAGTTCTTTGGTGACACTCCATTCCTTCAGATCTCTCTTTACGGACTCGATATAGCATAGAAGTAAAATCATGCACCTCATCCCACAAGTAGAAGTAAGCTTTCGACCAATGAGCCTCTGTTTTCAAGATTTCAACCTCTCTTCGCAGAGAATTTTTTGCTGCATCGGTACTGTTGTGCATCAACAAAGGAACGAAATTAATAGAAGAGAAGTAAACAAGCTGATATGAAATTTAGTAGAAATTCTAGCATTACCATGACAGAATAGGCGCGTACGGTACAGCATATGCTGCGAGTCTTGGATCAGAGTAATATTCATTAGCCTTTGGATGATCAGCTAAAAGAACAAAGACAAAGTAGGAAAATCACATCTGAGAATAAATTTACATAAAGCAGCATACTCTTTTTTTTCTATAGAAATAGATGCATTACCAGGCCAGGGGCATGTGTACGCAAGAATACGCATGCTATCGCCCCATCTGCAGAAAAATGGACTGATTCTGTACTGGAGGAGCCACCTGAAGTGATGATCCAGTGCATCATACCACCCTTTGGTGCCATGCTCCAAACAAAACCGGTCTTCAATGACAGTTTCAGATATCTAATATAGTTAAAGGACAACGAATGCATACAAATACAATTCAAATGCAAAATGATGATAGCTGCAATACCTACATAGACAACTCAAATATAAATTCTCAACTGCAGGTTTGCAAATTGAATGTGTCTTGCACCACAAAGAAGGCATATGGAATTCCTCATATCATAATATGTCAGAACATTACTACATACTAAAGGAGAATATTGCCAGGATACACCAAAAACAGCAGGTAAGGAAGGTGTCAGTGGGAGAGTGAAATCCCACACAGTCAAGCTTAACTTGACACGAACAGCAACATTGTTCATAACATCTTCATCCATCATGTCCCCTAATCCATTATTCTCATGGCAGTCCTGGAATGCTGGAAGTACTAGCATCCTCCTCAGTGTGGTTGAAGTTGATGATAATCTTAGTATCTGCATGTTATACACTGTAAGGAAAGGAATTATGTGCTGGTATGTGAAGTGTTATTGACAGATAAAATACCATTTCCTCTGACGATGAGTGGTCTCTGGATTCAGTGATACCAAGACAAGTCTTTAATTCTTTATACAGCTGGTATCTCTCAGATTTTGGTAACGAGTCTGCCTTGGAACTGCCACCAAATACATAGCATAAAAATAACAGTTAATAACTCAAATGATGAATAACTAACAGACATAGGTGCATATGTGGCTACAATTCCAGGCTAAATATCATCTGGACACACGTTACCACCTGCAAGCATCAGATTGGCACACATCCAATACCCGCATCTCAGACCTAAGCTCAGAATTCTAGCTCCAGGATGAATAAGAACTATTTGTAAAGATGTTTGCTTGTTTCATAAACTGAACCCCATCCAATGTACTAACATTATTGGAAGCATATAAGAAAATCAGACTCGTGAACTCACACTAGGTTTCAAATTAGCACTTCATATGGGATCATGATAATGCAAGTCCATGGAAAGTTCAAAAACTTGGAACAAACAGAAAACACTGTTTTGGTTTTTACAAGACGCAACTATAGAAACTCATATCAAACTCTAATGGCTGGATTTTCCACCGACAATATATACCAAGAGAATATGACCGTACAGTAAAATAAATTATTTCCAATACTTCATATGTCTTCTCATATTGATATCTCGTTCCAGTATGCCATTTGGTCACTTGCGTAAGTGGTTAGAATTTGTCCTCGTGTTTTTACCCAAGCAATTCGAGCAGATTATACTACCATTTGTGACATAAGTACATGACCAAATAAGTAGCCAATTTAAGCTTACTCTGAGTCTGTCCTCATAGCAGTAATACATATTTCTCCTTCATATAGACCAGGCTCTTGCCCACAAGGAACATTTAGTGAGACCCATACTGCAGTTGTCTCCCTGTACAACAAAAGCAACTAGCAATTATTAAAAAGAATGAAGACAAATGTTTCAATCATGTGGCTAGCTAAAGCACAGAAGCAGTACCCAGGAAGTAGGTTTATTTGTGGACTGGAAGGATCAATAGGCACAAGGGCATCTGGTACACCTAATATAGGCACCACACGTCGCAACGTTATAGATTGACCAACCACTAACCTGATACAGCATTGTTATAATCATCCAAAGTAGAATGTGCACATCTTGGTTAGCCACTGAATGAATTCAAAATTTAAACAAACAAACCTTCCTCCAGAGGATGAGCATAGATCAGTGCACTGAATCTGCACAGGCCCTGCAATACCTGAACTGGCCCATGAAACTTTTGGACGTAACGCGATTTGAAAACTTTCCCTTTCATTTCTTGCTGCCAAAAGGTTAACCTGAAGGGATTTTGGAAGGAAGATGATAAAATGAGGAATCTAATAGTAACAGAGCAGTACCAGATCATAAAGCAGTCGGACTGGTGAACAACAGCATGTCCCAAGTTACAGTCAAAAAAAGAAAAATGATCAGAAGGAACAAAAATATGGCACGACTCTAGAGCATTCTGCATAGTGCAGTGAAGCAATAGATTATATGTTCTTCTAGCAGTGCTATTAAAATTAAGTACAACTTACATGTTCTAGAGGTCGAGGTGCTTCTTGTTGGCTAACATTTGCTGTGCTGGGCATAGACCAAACATGCAAAAGATCTGCCGAGTGCACCTTAGTAGGGTCAATCACACTAGAACCTAGATGCGACCCCTGCAAGCCTCCATCCACCCAGCCATAACTAGTGCCTCCTCCAGCTACACCCTCCACAGGTGGTACAGATATTTCTTGTGTCTTACTTACTGTGATAAGAACAAAAATATCTGTGATTAGGCTACATAACCAGAATTTAAGCTCCAAAGTTTCCTTCATTGCTGATAAAAGTAAAAAATCTCAATATACACAAAAAAATAGTTATCAATCACCAGTTCTTATATGTAAAAGTCAGTTCCAGTTGTGACATACTATGCACTGAACTTATGCAAACACTTGTTATACGAGGCTCGAATACCTGTATTTGACAACAAACAGACCGAGAAAACATTGAGTGTGCTAAACTATGTAAACTTTAAAATACTGTGCCCTTTCCCTGATGCAATTTCAATATCTTCATCACAGTGCACATGCCTTGCTCAACTAAATCATATTTCCTGGGTTACAACTTACAAGTAGGATATTAGGCAAATCTTACGTTGCCATATAAGTGCTGGGAATAAAGGCAAACCGCCAGTTATGTGAATCATCGGATACCATCTCCTAAGATTATCTGAACCTAAACCCAAAGTGCCTGATAAATATGGATGCATAGATTAATCGCAGTTCTACGACAAGTCCAAATTCAGTAGTACGCAGGTAACCAGGATATCAGATATAGGTGAGCATCCGTAAGCTCGCATGGAGTGGGTGCCTAAGAATTCAGTAAGCTGGGAGAAAGGGAAAAAACAGGTAGGCTTTTTATGCATTCACTAGGTGGGATGATGCCTTGCATGATTCATTTCTTATTTTGCAATTATATCTGCTTGCTGGATATTGTGTGTGATCAACTAGATGCGTGTCTGGATTTAGTTTGCAGGTGATCCGTGATCACCAAACTGAACAGGTGTACACTCTTAAGCTCAGAACTGAGAACAGAACGGGGTCAGAGGAATGACCAACCCCATCTGAATTTTGATGAGATCGGAACTAGCTGCAACATTTCCGCCCAAGTTGTGCTCAGTGATCAGGTCAGAAGCAAACTTGCCATCGTGATGCTGAGATAGAGTTAGCATGCCCCGTTCACAATTCAGTAACCTATTCGATAACCGTCCCTTGCACAGGCGGATGCTGAGAGTAACAGCGAGCAAGCTCCACGCATTGCGCGGCACAACGCAGCCTCAGCTCGTGCGCGGTGGATTTCAGGGTCGCCACCGCCGCGGACACCCGAGCACCATGCGGACCGAGCAACACCAGCGCTCGCTAATCCTACGGCAGCTCCACGCGCGAAGCAGCTGAAGCAAACGGAGAAGGAAATGGGCGCGGGGGGCTCCGGGTCCGGGGCGGAGGGGCGATCGAGCTGTCCCGGGCAGCAATCCAGCACGATGAGGCCGCGGAGAAGGGGGCAGCGCGTACCTGCGGCGGAGCTGGGGTCGCTGGATTCCATGGCGCCGGCGGCGGGGAGCGATCGGTCGGTCGGTCGGTCGAGGAGGGGGGC